AACAGATGTTAGCAACTGTGTCCTGAAAGGTACTTGTAAATGCAAGCGCTAGCAATTACATTCTATGATAGCTACTTCCTGTCATGTCACTGTCCTGTTCATCATAGCTACTGACCATTTCCTTGGTGCTGAAATACCGGTGATTCTGTAACTGAAAACCCGAAGACGATCTTTGTCATGGTTGATTGATTGAATTTGCATCCTTCCCATATTACATTTGTATACTGTTCTCTGCATATACTGCATGTTACCCATTTTCAGCTTGCTATCACAAAATACCATACAAAGAGTAGCAGAAATACAGAAGTGATTTACCGAATGTGTGATGCATCGTCCATCAGAGAACAGCAGGGAGAAGGGGTGGTCCACATCCAGCAGCACAGTGAGGGGCAGGGAGGACATGTTCCTCAGCTCCAAGGGCTGGTGCTGAACCTCAAGCACATCCTCTGGGTTCTGTACAGATACAACACGACATTAAACAACCCGCTACTACATTACAGAAACACATAAGATATTTTAAGGGAAGTACACTAGAGAATTCCTAGCCTAAAATTCACTACCTGTGATAAAGGAATATCAGAAGTCAGTTTCATTTTATGTTCGTTATACATTTTGTATTTGTTACTTCAACCTGTATTTATGTTTTATGTTCTTGAGCAAAGGATCTTATAAGCACATTATGTGCTTGCTATCTAATGCTCACAAATCCTCTCTCTCTGTCTTTCTCTCTCTCTCTCCGGTTAAACCATGTGAATAAAATAAGTTATTTCAACACCATACATAAAACATTGTCACATTGTATTGCAGCAGGAGAAACATACTTTGTCTATCCTGAAGTTGATGTTGCGAGTGGAGAGATCCAGCAGTGGAGCGATGAACTCCACATTGATGTCCATCGTCATGATGTGCTCCTTCCCGCTGGTCTGACCAATGATAGCATGGCACAACATACGCTCCCGCAAGATCTGGGGCCTGAGGTGGCAAGACATGACAGTTCTTTAGATATCTCAAGGATGTATTGTAAACAGTTGTGTTTGCTTGGTATAAAATTGCTAACATGCAAACGTTTGTGAAACAAATGGCTAAGATGTAACTTACTTTTTTGTCAGCCCCTCCAACATGACATCAATGGTTTGTCCCGGGTTCAGCTCCATACGGTGGGGTTTCAGGTGGAAGATGGGTTCACTGGTCGGACCATTCTGTCAGGGAGGGGAGGTGTCATAAGTACAACTTTTGACATGAAAAAAAATGTATCTATTCATTCACCCCTGATTTATATATCCATGAAACTCCAGAAGTAGGCACACCAAATGTTACAATCAATAAGAAGACTGGAAGAAGATGGTATATGATAGGAAAGGAGCATGCATCAAAGAGAATTTATCAGAGCTGTACCTGGTTGTTGTTGGAAGTGTTCCTGCGGATGCGGTACATGGGGAACCCCTCGGTGTGCCAGAACAGTTGCTGGTGCCGCCGGCCCTTGTTGGTCAGCTGGAAGTGGTACTGGCAGGGGCTGTCACTGTAGCACAAGAACAGCACTATATCAGCACCATGGCCAGTAGCTGTCACATACCATACTTCTACCTTTCACAGGATTATAAAAAAAGTAAAACATGCCTGATGCTTAAAATCGAAATACCTCATCACTGATATAGAGAGGGATGGATTTTCACAGGAGTGCCACTAGTGAAGAATAGCTGACAGCTGTGTGACTTACCTGAAGTGTGGGCCCAGGTGAACGGCAGGTGTGATTGGAGAGTTGGCTACAATGGTGGTGCCGTGTCCGTAGGCCTGGACCACGATGGTACGCGGCTGGCTGCTGGGGTACTGGATGTACAGTTTGTCCTTGAACCTGATGCAGTCGTCCAGGTGTGCTGTGAGGACCAGCTCCTGGGCAGACTCCGGAGGAATCACGCCTTCCTGTGGCTCAACCCGCCACACAGACCCCGGCCGCATCTGTAGGGCAGGAGAGGAAACAACAGGCTTGTCTGTATCTACATAGTGAAGTTGTCAAAATGTTCATCCTGTGGAATTACAAAGTACGAGCTGAGCATGCGTATAGCTGCTGCAATTAGTAAGATGGACATGGGACATGACCTTGAGAGTAGCTACTAAAGTCTTTTCTACAGCTACATTTTGCATATGTATTTACATGCACTGTGTCTATTTTACTATACAAATATATTGCATCAGTCACACCAATCAAGACAGAGCAAAGCACAACATCTTCTATACTGACCATTTGTGCAGAGAAGGGTGCTGGTATCAGTGACTCGTTGGACAGCTGTACGGTCCTGTGCACATCTGTCAGCACCTGGATATCTCCCCAGTCGAGCTCTGTAGGTGCCACATGCACCACTGGTCCCTCTCCCACACAGCACACATGCACCTGCTGTATACCACAAATACAGCATTATTAAAAACAGAATCATCAAGTATGATCATGTCAACTGCTACAATTTTGAACACATCATTAAGCTGGCAGAAGTAAAATTACATCCAGCATGTGAAATCCAGCATATTTATGTTTACCTAGAAAACATATTGTTTTTGCTCTGTTTCTTTTTTTTCTCCAAACAAATAAGGTCAATGACCAGGACCAGGCTTCTGTCACTATGGTAACTGGCATTGGGTTACATATTGTTGCAATTGCCCTGCAGAACTGAGTTCAAGAGGGGCTGCATGGTCACCATATACATGAGTGTGTTTGAATAAGAATGAACAAAACAGTAGTTTGTTGAGCTGGGCCATGTGAAGGTAAACATGATTACCTTTCTAGTTTGGATTTTTTTTCTTGCTTTGTTGGTGCTAATAGGTCACCTAATCAGTACAAAGGTTAACCATATGTAAAGCTCCAAGAAAATTACCATAGGAGGGTCCTGGCTGCCAAAGATGTGGATGTACACGACTTCCTCAGCCTCGTTGAGCTGCTGTGCTGTACATGTAAGGGGGATCTCTGTCACGGTGTGGGGCTGCAGAATCCCCCGCCACTGGGAGCTCTGGTACGTCAGGGTGCTTGAATCATCCACCGCCTGGTGTTAATGGCAAAAAAACAGACATGAACATACTGATTACACATTATCAGAAAGTGTATTGGAAGACTATAATTTATTTTAGGAATGATTTTGAGTTTAAAGTAAATGTTGTTGCATTGTTTGGTGATTAATCAAATGCAATTCATTCACTCTTAAACCACCATGCATTAAACATTTATCATATTTCCTATGTTCTGGACCATATGTCTATTAATCTTTACATTGTCCAGATGAAGGCATATAGAATGATATAGGATGTTTGTTATTTGTATGGTATCCTGGACTGACCTGTGGTATGATGTCGTACTTAGCAGGCAGTTCTGTGTCGTTCAGGATCTTGATGCTGTGTTCATAAGGGAAGCCCAGGAAACAGCGCCCAAAGTCCAGTATAGGAGTCACCACAGCCAGGGTTGGCACTATACACCTGTGGAAAACAACATCACAACTATTAAGCATATGCTGTATCAGCAGTCTGTATATGTATGAGTCAGTTATATATATAGGATTTCTCCAGGTAATTGATATCATACGACAAATCTAATGTATTTCCTAATGTCCGATTTGAAGAGAAAACCATTAATAATTTCTTTAGCAATTTTGTTTGTTTGAAGCAAGCTCACAATGTTAAATTCCATCAATAAGTTCATTTTTGCAGTACATGTATCTCTTAAAATATACATACTTGGCCACTATGGGAAGCATGAGGATGCCCTGGCCTACACCCTGTACATCCACCACCAGCATGGAGTCATATTTCTTCACTGTGTTGGACACCAGGGTCACCTGTGAACACAACAAAGCATAAGTACACACTATTGACTTGACTTAACATGTAGCAAAATATAATTATAAGCTAGTATGGAACAAGGCAAAGATTTAAAACTGATCATGAACGGAATAACAAGATCCTTTTTCTGTGCTTAACACAGCTGTAACTGGTAGTTTATACACATAAATGAGTTTTTACTAATTCCAACACTGTTCTAACACACCAGTCCCTCATGTTACTGACCTGGACCCTGACTTGGCTCTGTGCAGGGATAGTTCCACTGGAGGGTACAATGATGAATTCCTGCAGTGCAGTGGACACACTTTGGTTGGGATGATGGTCGCTGGCGTGAGTTCCCTCCTCCAAGTCCAACAGACTACAAATGCTGCGTTCCCCGGTACCGTCTCCCGGTACATGAAGGCTGAAGGTCATGGGCACCAGGGCTGTGTTTACTATGGTACAGGTCTGGGTGTGCTGGAAACCTGATGATGAAGAACAAGAAATATTACTTTTTATCTACTCTCAAATGTGATCAAGTTGTACAGAAAACTTCACTGCCAAAATAGATTAAATTGTTTACTTGAGATTCCAATGTAATCTGTTTTTTCTCTAAGTACTTGTCAGTAATACTGCACTACTTACCATAAGACACAACTCCAAAGTTCAGTCGTGGAACATCAAAATGGAATGTGGGTCCAATGACACATCCCCTGTAAAACACAAGCCCCGGGTAATGAAGTGTCTGGTAACCAGTGTGAAATGACAAAAAAGGTGTCTCAGAGATCTTTCTTCTCCATAATCATTACAAACACATGAATACTCATGACATCAATGCCATCAAGTCACATAATTGATTTTAAGACAGTTGCTCTTTACCTGAAGGACAGCTTCAGCCTATGTGGGGAACCATCAATGGCTACATAGAAGTCTTCCTGGAAGTCACCAAGTGTTGCAGACCTACAAGATACAAAACAAAAGCACAACATTACCGGTATTGTAAAATATTTGAGTAGCACACTGAAAAGTCATTTTATGATATCTAAGATATACCAAGTAAATCTGTCGATGACATATCACCATTGTTACAAATAAATTAAATCATAAACTGTAATCTACGAGTAATTCAGTAATAAGTACAAACCTGAAGGTAATCTGTATGGCCTGGTGTCCATCAGGTAGAACAATGCCCTCTGTTGGGTTGAAGGTGAAGCACAGGCCAAAATGTGTGTTGTTGGGAAGGATGCTGAAAATGGCATCGATGTCACCCTTGTTGGCAAGTACAACCTGTGAGGAACAGGAAGAATATACAACAGTCAGACCCTCAAGAATTTATACAGAGTGTTTTTTATGAGATGTATCACATTTTCTATAAATGGCCAAAATAACAGAGTAAAAAGTTATTTTGATGATGAACATAACAGCAGCATGAAGTACCGGCTACATATCAAGGTTTCTCACCTCGTAGGTGTGAATGGACCCTACAAAGATGTTTCCCATGTCCAGCTGCTCAAAGGAAAACTGCACGTTTGGGCCGATTCCGTCTCCCCGTAGTCTGAGCGGCAGACGGGCCTCCCTGCCCGTGATGTCCAGGTACGCCACCTGCTGATACGTCTTCGCCTCCTGCGGCTTAAAGATCACAGAAACCTCGGCTGATTGGTTGGGCCAGATTTCCCCCTCCAGAGGCTCGATCTGGTAGACGTCATCGGCGAACAGCATGCTGTCTCCTGAGACGATCCTCCGTCTGTTCTCATAGGTCCTCGTCAACAGGGACATCTTGTCTCTCAGAGTGGGGTCGGTGATGCACTCCTCCAGGAAGCGCTCTCTCTCCACAGACTCCTCGTGAGACAGTTCTGAGCTGTAGTGGGTTCTCTGTTGACTCTCCTCCTCCACAGTGGCAAACAGTTTCCAGTGGTAGTGAACGATGACATCGCTGCGGTTCACGATGTTGATTGTTCGTTGGTTCGCCATGGAGATGTACGTGTTCTCAATGCGGAGAGAACTCTTATCCAGCCGCACGTTTGCATTCAGTGCAACCCCGTGTAGCTCCACAAAGATTTGTTCACCTGAGGTGGGATGAATGTATCTATTTTTAGAGCCAAATACATCAATACGACAAATTAATGTTTTAAGCATCTTAGATCATATCAGAACTGTGATTTGGTATACTACATCATTCCCATCTTTGCAAATAATCAAATAAGCTAGAAAAACATTTGAATCTTACATTAAGCAGTTGATGTACACAGATTAAACAACTCTCCCAGTGTGGTGTGTTTTCTCTTACCTGTGTCATATGTGAGCACCAGGTCTGCTACGTGGTCCCCTGTGGTTGGAGCTGTGAACTCTACTGTCACCTGCATGCTCTCTCCCACAGGCAGTACACCACAGGCCGGACTCACACTGAAGGGTCTGTCATAGCAAACAAGACAATCAGGTCAAAATATTCCTACATCCCAGCTTTTAAAGAACTAATTCACACAGACCTTTCATATAAAAATTTGCAGTAGAGCATTGTTACAAAAATTTCATTTTTTAAGAGCTTGCACAGAAAAAGTACTACCTGAAAATAATCTCAAACTGTATCAATAGGATGACAAGGAAAACAACCACTTGCATCTGTTTGCCTTCAAACAAGACCCTGGCACTCTTTACCTTTGTGCAGCTAGAGAAAAGGTGGCGTCTTTGTTGCCAATGTTTCGGACCAGGAGAGTCTGTGTCGCCGTGTGTTTGACTGGCCAGGCAGAGAAGTTGACATAGTCAGGGA